AGTAGATATTGCAATATAGTATCTTGCCCTAAGAATTATAATTTCTTTATTAATTCAGTTCTAATGATAACAGTAAATTTGTTAAATTAGTAGAAAATATACAATTATTGTAAAATACAAATGAATAAAAATACAAATATATTACACCTATTGTTATAGGTGTGAAAGTCTGAATTTAAGTGTGAATCTATAACATCATCTTACTTTAGCATAAACAAGGTTTTAAATGCTTGTCTTCTTTTCCCAAATACTGCCACTAGCTATTTAGCTTTTGGGATGCCCAAAACACCTGGAACTTCCTGGTGGTTTGTTATCATACTTTTTCATTTTTTTTTGTATCAGCATGAATTTCCAAATTAAACTGGAAGAATCTTATACATAAAAGATGAGTATAGATCTATTTTTGAACTTTGTACATGAAAACATATCAGGAATTCAAGGTCAGGATTTGGAGATTGTTATATAGGCATCTGAACGAAGTGACGAGACCTAAGGATATATTCAGCATCCAGCAGTTTTCATAGAGAGCAAAGAACTCTAAGACAGCATTGTTGAAAATATGACTACTGGGTAAGATATCTTAATGGAATTTGAACATTTTAGAAAATGTCCAGATCCCGATTAAGAGCAGTAAGCTCTTATTTTTTTTTTCTTTCTGTGCCTAAAATATACAGTAACATTTTGCTTGACTTAGAATTTTGTTTTGTTTGTCACCTGTGCAGCACTGCCGCCATGGAATTTGCGTGAGCAGAGACATGGAGATGCGTCCTGTAGATGGAGAATGGGGACCATGGGGACCTTATAGCTCATGTTCAAGAACTTGCGGAGGTGGAATCAAGAGCACCACCAGGCTGTGTAATAGACCAGAGTATGTTTTTTATTATTTTACGTTGTCCTAATATCTTCATTATGCACAATAGTCGATTGGTTCAAAACCAAATGAAGATACTGTGAGTTGTGCAAATTAGTTCAAAGCACCAATGAAAAAAAGATGCAAGTTTCAGCCATATATGAAAAGAGAGATAGGCCTACAGTCTCTAATATGCGGATAATTTACAAGTTAGTCTTCTTTCTCTACAATGTCATTCATATTTGTAGATGTTTCTAAAGACATCTTGTGACAGGGTCTTTTTTTTTTTCTAGCTTTACTCTAAATGCTGAAGGCTTCTTTAAACACTAAGATGCTTTCTCTGGACTAAAAACTACAAAAAGGAATAGATGTATTCCCTGGTAATCTTTTTACTGAAAGACTTGATTTGCTTTGATTTAGGGCTTTTTCACAACATCATCCCCAGTAACACCCACAAGGAACACAGTTTACAGCAGAGTCATTTACAACTTACTTTTCTAATGAGAAACTTCCGCTGACTGAAAAATGCAGTGTGAGTTTCAGTCTCTGTAATAGAAGTCAATGAGAACTTGACCCTTAACTTCTCCAGAAGCAGAATCATAGCTGCACCCTAGGTAGTTTCAGGTTTTTTTTTTCTAGAAAGTCATGTCATCTTGATATTATTAGTGGGATGAATGAACCTGAATCAAATGACCCCCGTTTATTTTATTTTCTATGACGAGTAAGAGACAGTTGAATAGATTACCATTAGATACGCCTCTGTGAATTTGTAGTAACTGGTAGTATCAGTATGCCATTGATTCAATTTTTTTTTTTTACTCCCCAGGGACCTACGAATGCTGAATTATTTTGCAGCAGGTTTTATAACAGTTAAGAAATGAATTTTGGACTTTACAGTAAATGGAATGTTTTCAACAAGTTTCCCTTTTTAGTTCTTTTGATCTCCAAACTGAAACCAATATTAGGACTACAGAAAACAGTGTGTTGGCTCCTAACTCTGTCTTCTTTCTTTGTCACTCTGTAAAATAATAATTTCAAATTACTGAGGGAGGTGCTGCTTCTTTAAAAATAGGGCTGTGATCTCAAATGAATTGATAAAAGCATTAAAGTTAACAGTGCTTTTTCTTAGGCAAAATAATTGACTAAGCAAAATAAAAACGTAATAGACATAAATAAACATCAGTAGCTTGATTAGCACCTACCTCAGCAGTAGTATTTTACATGGAGCTTTTATTTTCTTCACTTGGGTATAAATATATGCACAGTGCCAGAGAGGATAAGAGCATCTGTGGGAAAGTCTGTAACAGATGGCAGAATGCTGTGTGAGATTCTCCCTTCTAGATCAGTGGCTCAAGCCACTTTTAATGGACAACAGCAATTTTAGTAATTGAGTGTGTTTTACTTTCCCCTATTGTTGTTAGACCAAGAAATGGAGGGAAGTACTGTGTTGGCCGCAGGATGAAATTTCGGTCCTGTAATACTGATTCATGTCCAAAAGGCAGAAAAGATTTCCGTGAGCAACAGTGCTCTGAGTTTGATGGCAAACACTTCAATATCAATGGTCTTACATCTGCTGTCCGTTGGGTTCCAAAATACAGTGGTAGTAAGTAATTCATAATTTTTTTTCAGTTAATGAAATAAAAATGTTACTTTAATTAACATTTTAAAAAAGACAAGAAACCTGTTGGATTTTCTTTCCAGTTTCTATGAAAGATCGCTGTAAGCTTTTTTGCCGAGTTTCTGGAACAACTTCCTACTATCAGCTGAAGGACAGAGTTGCTGATGGTACTCCCTGTGGAGCAGAAACCAATGACCTTTGTGTTCAAGGCTTATGCAGGGTATTTAAATCTAAACTTACTAATTATTAAACTCAATTTTGACAGGTGGTAGATACTAAATATTAATCCAAATAATCATTACTGAAAATATGTAAAGCAAGATGTTTTGAATTTAATTTTCACCCCTACCAAATTAAAGATCTGGAAATGGAGGAAATTAAGTGAAGAACATACAGTTGAATCTGAAGACCCACAGTCTTTGCTAAGCCTCATATGTGAGAGTTAATATTCTCCAAGTGAGCAGAGAGAAACTGATGCAAAATTAGCATGAAGGGAGGAAAAAAGCGTGCTGTGTATTTATTGTCATATTTCTGCTATCAAAGAAGTAAAAAAGTAGAAAATCCAAGGGTAGATAGATTATATATCTATTCTTTCATTGCAAGATCAGGGGAACTGACCCTTGAAAGGGATCATTTTGGTATTCTTTGCTTAATAGTAATTGTGGAAGTGCCAGAAGATTTTGCTGGGAGAAGCGAGGTGCTTGTAACAAATCCAGACTTTTGTCGATTGCAGTGAAACTGAATAAACTCAGGATGAGGAGAGAGAGGAAATGTAGCCTTTTTTTAAAGCATTGAATCAAGAAGAAAGGAATTGACAGAGAATTGTCCTATTCATAGTAGTTTGTTTTTTTTAAAAAAAGAAGTTTAAGTAAAGATCAAAAAAAGTACTTATGCTAGTTTAACCAGCATAGTCTGTGTATTCCTTTGCTTCTTTTTGCAGTAATGACAGACTAAAAGAATTGATGACCATGTACGCATAAATACTGCCTTTATGACTCCAAGACTTTTTAATGTAAAAAAAACTCCAAATTTGTACTCATGTTCATTTTTTTTTTTTTTACAAAATCTTTACATACTGTTACATATTCTTTTATAGTTCTTGACATATTAAGTGTATGTGGATCGTATGCTCTTAGTACAACAGTGCTATTGTGTTTTGCCCTTAATCCCAACATCCACAAGCATAAAAAGCTTTTCATGAATTGCAAGGAAGACCAGATATATAGAGTGAATAAGAATATTTTTGAGGAGTGGGAAGCTGGCATTGTTTGATTTTGTTTTCCATTGGGCTGAGTGGCACAGGGCTATTGTTTTTTTTTTTTTTGTTTTTTTTTTTTTTAGCAAGCAGGCTGTGATCATGTTTTGAATTCCAAGGCAAGGAGAGACAAATGTGGAATCTGTGGTGGTGATAATTCTTCATGTAAAACACTTGCAGGTACTTTCAACAGTGCTCGTTATGGTATGTTGTTGTTTTTTTTTTTATTTTATTTTATTTTAAATCTTAATGCACATTCACTATGGCTTAGAAGTTGTTTTATGTTTGAGAAATTGAGATTTCAGTGTATGTTCTTTAGGGCCTCTGTCAACAAAAATCTCTGGTTTTCAGTCATGTGCCCTCTCAGGGTTGCAGAGGCAAACATTGTGACAGTAACACATGTGAAAAGGTAAAAGAAATCAATATCTGCTCTAAGATCAAATCAAAAGACATCAATAAAAGATATTGTGAGGGTAGAAGTACTTTAAAAGAGAGAATATTTCCTGTTTTGCACTTCACATTCTATCACCTGAAATTATGCAGCTGAAGGGCTTACTTCAATGTCTTCTCTTGGTTGTATAAAGAGATGGCAAGAAGTCTGTGATGTGGAGCAGCTGATGAGTATCCTTTTTTTTCCTATAGAGAAAAAGATAGCCTGTGAAATGTGAGCCTTTTCTTTCCAGAGACATGGGCAGCAACATCTATGTTCTTTGCTCTTCTGGTGTATAGTGAATGAGAAGCAGGCCACCCAGGGAAGTGACTGAGTCACCGTCTCTGGAGGTATTTAAAAGATGTGTAGGTGTGGTGCTTAGTGACATGGCTTAGTGATGGATTTAGCTGAACTAGATTAATGATTGGACTTGATCTTAAAGGTCTTTTACAGCCTAAATGATTCTGTGATTCTGTGAATAACCCTGGTAGTCCCTGTTTCTTTGATTTAGTTTCTCTTATGGAGCTACTTCTACAGATAGTTCTTCTGTACGTAGTTCTTTCTGGGAAGTATGGAGAATGTAGCAGGGTAGTTAAGTAGTTAGTGCACAGAACATGAGGACAGAAGTCTCCAGTTTAATATTGTATTCCTAAAGTGAAAATGATAGCTGGAGAGCTTCCTATGTTCTAGCTTATATATTACACCTTCCAGGATACTGGGCATACTTTCCTCTTTGAGCAGCAATTCCTCTGTTCTATGAGGATCCTATTTGGTAGGTCTCCAGGTATCATTTTCACACTGGTGAAACAATCATCAGATAATCATTACAATGAAATGCTAATTTACTTAGCTTCCAATTTAGGAAATAGTAATCTAATTATGTACACATAATTATTATCTTGGCTATTATTGTATCACATTATAGTACCTGAGGATTTCCTGGAAAATGGTCATTCTCAGTTCCTGTGATCTATTCTCCTGTGTATTCTTGACAACATGGTACACAGTTTTGCTTAAAGTTTCCTCCTGTGTTTTGTCTTGTTGTCATTTTGTTACCACGAGATGTTCAGCCTGTGAGATGAGGGTCTGTTTTGAGTGTGTTTTGGTTTCCTTCCCAGTGTGTTGGAAGGCTGACCAAGCGCTGTGCGTTTAGCCAGCGCAGGCAGCGTGTCAGTTTGCAGCTGCAGTGCTGCCCCCAGCTGGTACATGGGCTGGACCTCTGCTTAGGTCAGATCTTCATTGAAATGCATGCCATGGCTTTAATAGATTAAAAGCACCGGGAAGTCAATGAGTTAGGAAATTGGAAAAGATATTGCCATTCAAATTTTTACCCACAGAGGTGAGTCAAATAACTAAAGCTAAATCACAGCAAGACTGTTAAACACAACAAAATCAGTGGAAAATTACCAAAGATTATATAGATGCTTCAGATTGCATAGTTGTGCTTATTATATGTTTTCAGTGTTTGCCATGCTCATTTTTTCTTGGACACAAGCATTTTTTCAGTTTGTTTTTAACATCTGTGAGAAACAGCTCTTTTTCTTAAAATCTATCCTTATGTGCAGAGCAACAGTTCTAAAAAGCAGAACGGGATGCACCTTATTTTGTACCTTACGACGAGGTTATCATAGTAGTAGTTGGAGATATTACAGGAAACAGTGGCTTAGTTGTGAAACATTTGTCATTTGAAGGGAGCACACTAGGGCAACATTTCAAGTAGGCAGAATGCAGATCAAGCATGGCTGGTTTACCTGGTGTATCCACCTATGCGTGTGGCCTGCAATACTGGACTATATGGGACTCGGTCTTTTAGAGTGTTGTGCAACACTCCAGTGAAATGGTGAAATTGCTAACCCAATTGTTTAAACAGGGAGTGGGGATTTTTTGTGTTAAGTCATTTATTCAGAGTTGTATACAATTTTTGTGGCTAAATTGTGAGCAGCCGCAATCCTGAATCTCACTTCATATACTTCACTTCTCTCTAGAGATTTTTCTGAGTAAGTTAAACTCGTGTTATTATTAAATAATTATATTCACTTTTCTGAGCACAGAAATAAATTTTGAGATATGAAAACAAAAGCTCAGCTCAAGTGATTAAAAAACAAAAACCACCAACAAAGAAATTTTACATGCATGAAGATATTCACATTTCCCTCCTGAAACATGAGGGCATTCAGCAGTGGTTGTCACTGGTGCACTGCAGGGTTTTGTGAATAAAACTGGTGAAATGTATGTTCATATTTAGTAGTATTTGACTATTTTTCTATATAATTTGTGAATAATTACATTGCAGGTTACAATGTTGTAGTAAATATTCCCAAAGGAGCAACAAACATTGATATTCAGCAGCACAGCTACTCAGGGAAACCGGAAGATGACAACTACCTTGGTAAAAGCCCCCTGTGTATAACATTGACCAGCAGTTTCTGTACCCTTGCCAGAGGACTGCTTTCAACATAGTATCAGAAGTTTGATAAAATCTTTAGAGCAAATGACTATTACATTGTATCATCATTTGCCTGATTTTTCTCTGTTGATACTAGTTTTCAGAAAAATGAGTGAGATGCTAGGTTTCTAACTCTTAAACATGTGAGTTCGTTTGTCAGAATAGGAATGATAGCATCGTTTAGTTAATTTTTTACTTTGTTGTGGCAATGTTAATTAAAACTCCACAAGTGAACTCAGAAGTAATGCAGATATTTGTGGTTTTAAATCTTGGAAGCATACACTCAGTTTATAAACAAAGCAGTCTGACCTTCAGCAAACTTAACAATTGTCTCACATTTCTCTTTTTCTGTTATGTCTGAGTATAAATATCACATGTGGACAGATTTGCATTTCTGTGAAGAGGAACAAAGAATTCATAAGCACATTGTAACAAAAATCTTGGTTGTTCCATTTCATGGTACTTATATTACATCTGAAGTGCCTGAGGGAATACTGGTGCAAATTTTCTTTCTGTCTCCTCTTCCATTACCATCCTACTCAACAAAATTCTGAGTTTTCAAAATGTTTTCCTTACCACCTGTTGCCCTGTCCTAATGGATCTCACAGGATGCAGAAACGACCCTCACCCCTGGCTATCACTAGCTGCCATTTCAAATGTAGTAATTCCTGAATATAGCATGCCTTTACTAAAAAATTTGTCTTAACATTTAATTTTTAGCTTGCTCTTCATCTTTGTTATTGCAGATTGGACATTAAGCATTTCTAGCAATAATTTCATATAATAATTTGCTTTATTTTTCTTTTAACATTTACTTTTAAAAGCTACTTTGGTAAAAGTAGCTCAAGCAAATACAAGAATGTGGGCTGTAGAACAGGAGAGAAATACAAATAATTGTTGTTAAGTCCTGCTCCTGTTTCCTTCTATAGAAGGAGAACCTAACCAAATTTAAAACTGATGACTGAAGTAAACCCTTCAGCAGAACAAATATTATTAAAGCTGTGTTGTTAATGCAGAGAAAATCTGTGACAACTGCTCAGGTGAAAGTTACTAATTATTACGATTGAATTAATGCATTAGAAACTGATACAACTTTAAAGTATTACACATAGACTAAAATATAGCTGTTGTTGAGAAGATATATTTAAAGTTTTTATTGATAGAACCTTTTAATTAAATAGATACTTTATTTCCGATATTTTATTTTACTTATAGCTTTATCTGATATTCATGGAAATTTTATCTTGAATGGAAATTTTGTTGTAAGCATGTCAAAAAGAGAAATCAATATACAAGGAGCCATTTTTGAGTACAGTGGTTCAAACAATACGATAGAGCGAATTAACGGCACCGATCGAATTGAAGAAGAGCTAACCTTACAGGTGCATGTTTACTTTTTTCATGTTTGAAAATTTGCCACATGATCATTATGTTCATAGTTTTATGTTCAAATTCACTGAAAACCAGCTATCGTTTTATCTCAATTAAGGTTTTGTGTGTAGGGAAAAAATTTATACACCCCTGATGTGCGTTACACATTCAATGTCCCAATAGAAGGTGGAAGCGATCTGTTTATGTGGGATCCTTATGGACCCTGGCAAGACTGCAGCAGGATGTGCCAAGGTACTGTGAATTCTTGTCACCAGAACCTAAGACCTGATGGCGTTTAGGAAGGGACTAGTCTTAAGTACTCAGATTTTTCATCCGTATTTGTAAGGAAGAAACTCCGCAATCTCAGTGAACTGCAGGTGCACAGAGACTTTAAGGGCAGAATGGCTTCTGATTTTGTTTTGCTGTTTTCAGTATTTATGCAATGCAATTTTATACCCAAAACTACATTTGTGTTCCTTGCTGTTGCAGCCATAGAAGTGGTTTATAAAAAAAATAAATAAAGTTTAGTCAAGTCTATTGCACCCTTAGAAAGCAGTATTGTGTATCCACTAATATTTATTATGCTTCCATTATCCTGTTTCTAGATGATCACTAGTATCTTTTATATATATATATATATATATATAGTCTAGTATCTTTTATGTATATATATATTTGTCTTCTTCAGTTATGAAGATATATTTTACAATTTTTAACTATTCTATAGGTCATTCTAGTGTAAAAATAAAACTGGTATATATGAAGTCTGTATATAAAGTGTATGTACACAAATTTTTGATGGATACTCGTATGAGCAGGTGCTAGAAATGCATGTAGATACATGATGATGAGTTTCTTCTGGTTTTGAGACAGGCTGTAGATGTGCTCATGTACTAGAGAAGCAGAGCATCTGTCAGCTGTGGTACTTCTCCAAGTGCTCCAGGTCTTCTAGGTACCCTGTGATCAAATTTGATGCTTCCTTAAGGAAAAGGGTAAAAACCTGCAGTGGTGGTTTGAAAATCTTGGTAATTACCTAAGGACAGATGTGATGCATCTGAAATACTTAACTTGATGAGTAAATGGACTGTTACACTTCTGCAGTTTTCTAGAACTTATCTTTGTGAGACCATCACTGTAGTACAGCTGGGAGATGGCAAGGGTGACTGAGGCAAGGTTTTTCTCCACCTGGAAATTAGCCAACTGCACAAAGCAGCATGTTTGTGCAGAATCAGCTTATACAGTGATTAGTGTTAATGAGGTATCTCAGTTAAGTTCCTAAACGATGAATGGAATCCATTACTTTAAAAAGGAACTCTTATGTTAGCCATTTATTCACTTTTTTTTTATTCCTTTTCAAGGTATCCGAAGAAGAAGAATGACATGCATACGTAAAAGTGATCATGTGGTAGTGTCTGATCAAAGATGTGAACTTATACCCACTGTACCAGCTGTCTTTGAGGAGTGCAATACAGAGTGTGAATTAAGGTAAAAAGAGGTTGCTCACTGATGGAACTGTTGTGGTCTCATGTATTTTTGTTGATGGGGATTGAAACAAAGCAATTCAGGTAGAGTGATTTATCCTCTGTCCCTCCACCCCTCTCTACTTCATTCTTCCCATCTCTCCTTCCTTTCCTCAAGTCTGTTGGTTTAATGGGTTTATATATTATGTTTACACCTCTGAATCTAAGTAGAACTAGCCTACTTGCCCAATTTTTATTGGTAAAGTCTTCTGTTAGCATTGTGACACTGTTCTATATATCCTGGTGCAAAAACTTGTATTCCTAGGCAGAATAAATTTTTTACCAAAATTATACCCACAGCTGGAATTAACTTGAAACAGACCTGGGTTTTGTACTCCAAAAAAGCCCACGCTGAAGTGTTCAGATTTACAGCTTACATTTTTCATAGTCACCTAGATTAAGACGAAAGATCCTTTAAATTTATAAAGATGTTTTTAAGCTTATGAGTCAATTTCTTTTATGTTGCTTAGAAAATTCCAGTCATGAGATAGATTTTACAGTTTTATCTGTTCCCTAAAATGCTTATCTATATTTACATGACAGTGCCTGTTACATTCTCAAAGTGCCTTATTCACCATGGTCTTATTTTCTAAAACACAGTTAGCTTTCTATAACAGTTTATCCTTGTAGGTGGCACAATGTTGGCAAAAGTGACTGCACATCAAAGTGTGGCCCAGGGTATCGATCGCTAGAGATCCACTGCATGAAGTACTCTATTCCAAAGGGACTCAGTGCTCCAGTGGATGATAAGTACTGTGCTGATCAGCAGAAACCACCAACCAGAGAGCCCTGCCATGGTGACTGTATGTTGACAAGCTGGCACTACACAGAATGGTCAGAGGTACTAATTCAAAACCTTATAAATTTACCATTATAGTTCTGGTTAGCATTCATATAAATTTATTTCTTTATATCTTTTTTTTTTTAGTGTAAGTAAAAGAAGTTAATGTTTGAAAAATGCAGAATTGTAAGAGGAGCTAATACCAATCTTAATATTTCAGCAACTTCCTCACATTTTTGTAAGAAGCTGTAGCTCCATTGTTTGCAGGTTGGTTTTGGAAGTCAGCAGAGAAGATCTGGTGGTTAAACATGTATATTTTATTTACAGTCTTAATAATTTAGCTCTGAGAGTATTTTGGAGAAGAGGAATAACTACTATTTTGGCTTTAATCTTCATTAAAGAGTTTTTTTCTTGGAACTACTAAACGAGGTGCCAAATTTATCTTGATGTAAACATATTAGGAGTCTTTGGATTAAATGTAGGACACATTTCTCTAACACAGTCATTAATGTCTTTCACTTTTAAGACTCATAATGTATTTTGACCTGGTTTTATCATGTAGTGTTTCCTGTTTCATAATATTGTCTCTACACCACAGTGTTCCAGGAGCTGTGAAAGAGGCATCAGAACCAGAGAAGCTTTTTGTATGAACAATTTGGGTCGTCATCTTCCTGATAGAGAATGCCAGGAATTTCCCAGAGTTGTAACACAGAGTTGCAATGAGTTCTCATGTCCAAGCTGGTCTGTTAGTGAGTGGAGTGAGGTAATGAACCATGTAAAACTTAAGATACCTTTGGTCCTAGTCATTGGTATTAAAATAAGCTGCTTTAAGCGTTGGGGGTTTTTTGTTCTGACTATTTTAGGGCACACAATAATAAAAATCCTGAAGTCCTAGGATTTGGCTGATATACATCCCACATCTACAAATGGCATGAGAACTGAAAAATACACCTAGAATTCGTTTTTCTCTGAAATTTTGTTACGTTAAAATGAAGAAATGAAGCTACTTAAAGTGAATCAATGTACAGTAACAGGCATAACTTCCTTTTGTATGAAGCAGTGAAAACCATCCAGCCAACTGAAGAACAGAATTATATCCATCTTATTATAAATATTACATGGATATAAAAAAATAATGGCTAGTTTAAAAATTTTTCATGTGAAAGCTATGATATGTATGATCATATTTTAAAAAAGTATTCTTTATTAAAAATAAATGATCCGTACATTACTCTTATATTTTTGTAGCTTCAGAAACTTAATAGTCATTCCTTTGTATTAGCATTTGGGTTGATGTTTACAGGAAATGGAGAGTTCATAAAAGTATTAGTTTTGATGGGCTGCTTATGTTCATGGAATATTTTTATATGGTATGTTGAAATCCAACAGATTACTAAAAGAAAGTGAAGCCATTAATGCTGTTTCATGTCTTTACAAACTGATGACTCTAATAATTTTACAGTGCCCTGTGACATGTGGCAAAGGAATGAAGCATCGCCAAGTATGGTGCCAATTTAATGATGAACAACTAAGGGATGATTTCTGTAATCCAAATGATAGACCAGAATCAATAACATCGTGTGAGCTTCATGAATGTGCAGCTTGGGAAGTGGGGCCTTGGGGATCAGTGAGTACATTGGGATTCCTGCCTTCTTGTTTTCTAGTTCAGACTATGAGTAATCACAAAACAATGTTTTTTTAAACATTTTAATTGGATCATAAGCAGTTACTTTAGTTGAATTGATTCATGTTTGTTTTTTTCCTTCTGGCTATCTAACATGTAAATTAGGAACACCTGTATATAAGTTAAGTGCCTAAAATAGTAATTGACCTTGAACCTTAATATCAAAGATGCTTCTATGCATGAATCTGTTACATCTCCATAATAATGAAGATGTAGATAGCAAACTGTTCAGAGGAATGAGGCAAGTTAAAGACCAAATATTTATAGGTGTGTGGGCATATTTAAGTGGTATCTTTAACTGAGATCATAGAAGCACATATGCTAATAACAGACAAACAGAAAAGTCGTAATATTTTGTTGTTATATTTTGCTTTGACCTTCAGTGATAAAAGATCTGCTCTCTCTTTATGTGAAAGTGCTGTTGAAAAATATATTCCTGTGTGTAATGATGCTTATCTGATGTATACCACAGTGGCTTCAAAATTCTGGGAAAAAATGAATTAATTTGCAAAGGGAACTTTTGTCATCAAATAGATGAGAATTAATTAAAAAACAGTAAGGTACTCAATTTCATAGAACTTTCATAAAACAAGCTTACTCAAACCAACAGAAGTGCTGGATTATTCAGTGTTTCTTGGGTGCTAGTGAGAATTCATAGCTGAATAGCTATGATTTTTATTTTTTACAGATAATCTATTACTAAAATTCAGAATAAATATACCTTTTGAAATTAAGTATATTTTCAATTTAAACATTTCTTTTGTATAGAACTTTCCTCATGCAATATTTTTTAACATTAGAAATAACCATACTGATGTCTATCATAGTGTTGAATTCCTTTTGAGTACTCTTTTGATCACAATTTGCCAATCACTGAAGCGGAGCTCCCCATTGCAGTTTTTCCACTGTACTATCTGGTAATAGCTATTCACAACCTGGGTTTTTACCAGTACTTGTGCTTGAACTACAGCATTTATAGGATGGGATTTATGTCAGAGTGTTTTCAGCCCTCTAACATTTTAGGTGCCTTCTTTGAATGTGCTCTTGTCAAACTGTAGTGAAGGGAAAGATATTTAACAGCTGCAGATAGTGAATCATTTAGAAGCCCACACCTTCCTCTACTACAATTTTTATTGCTGAGCATGACATTATATAGCATGGATTGTCCCTTTGATCAGTTCATGTCAGCTGTCCCAGCTATGTTCTTAGAAAAGGGTAGATTTAGGTTAGACATCAGGAAAAAAGTTCTTCAGTATGAGGGTGATAGATCCCTGGAACAGGTTGCCCAGACAGGTGGTGGAGGCCCCATCCCTGGGGACATTCAAGATCAGGCTGGATGAAGCTTTGAGTAGCTTGATCTAGTTTGAGATGTCCCTGCTTATGGTGGGGGGGTAGACTAGATGACCTTTGGAGGTCCCTTCCAGCCCAGACGTTCTATGATTCTAGTCTCTTGCCCATCTCCAGCCTACTCATTGCAGGGGGCAGAAGGGGGAAAAAAAAGGCACAGGTACTATTCAGTGACTGCCAAAATATTGGTGAGTTATGGACACTGTTTTGTGGTCTGCCATGTAGAAAGTTAACACTATCCCAGTAATCATGGAATTGTTTAGGTTAGAAAAGACCTTTAAGATAATTGAGTCCAACCATTAACCCAGCACTGCCAAGTCCACCATTAAATCATGTCCCTAAGCACCACACCTACATGTCTTTCAAATACCTCCTGGGATGATTACTCAACCATTTCCCTGGGCAGCCTGTTCAAGTGCTTGACAACCCTCTTCATGAAGAGATTTTTTTTCCTCATGTCCAGTTTAAACCTGCTCTGGCATTAATCATTCCTGTTCATTCTAGGAAGAGTTTTAAATAGAAAGTGTAATTAAAAATCAAATTTTATTATAAACAGTGCTATTTCAAGTGTGTGAAATTCTTGACTTTGACAGTGTGCTGTAACATGTGGACGTGGATACCAGATGCGTGCAGTCAAATGTGTTACTGTGACATACAGAGTAATTTTGGATGATGACAGGGAATGTAATGCTGCTACTCGTCCTAGAGATAACCAAGTAAGTTAAAAAATACCTTTCATTTGATTGTACTTTTTAGCTAAAACCACCTAAATGCAAGTGTTTTCTACTGACTGTTTGAGGGAACTTGCAGGAAGTCATTTCTAAAATGAGACTTTTTTTTCCTAAACTTCAGCTTTGGTGTACAGAGTTAAGTAAAAGAAGAGTAATTTGGAAGTTGCAGATTTGAAAATATGGTATGTGACTGAAAGGATCCAAAGGCCTTTGATTATTGGCAGGGGGAAGCTCCAACATGTAAAAAGGCCTTAAAGGTCTTTTCCAACCCGAATGGTTCTATGATTCCGTGTAGAGTATTGTAAGGAGACTGCTTGCCATGATACTTAATAATGTGCACCTAACTGCCTTGAAATTCTCAGTTTACTTACTTCATCACTTTCCTTAATTTAAGTCTATAACTATTCAGAAAAAAAATGTTCTTAATACAGTCAGTGGGTTTACCTTTAGCTAAAAACAATTAGTGCCTTAGGTACTGTGTATCCATTTGTTGTTCTGGCCTGTTTGGTCTCATTTATATCTAGCTAAGCTGATAGCCACATATTTCCTTGAGGGTATACTCTGCTTCTTGTCTCAAGAAGAGGGGGAAAAAAAAAGGATTCTATGATCCACAGTAAACCAGTCACAAGTTACCAGCCCTCTTACAGCTTTTTTTAATAAGATTTCAAAATATAAAAGCCAAGCAAATAGTATACATTTATTTCTACTTAAATGTGAAAACACTGGGTTTGAGTATACGTTGTACTTTGAATTGTGATACCTGTTATGCTCTTGGCTGAAACTGGACCATATAGTGTTCTCAGTAGCGGAGGGTATGAAGGACCGGACAGAACAGCCACTCTCCTCACTCAGCTCTTGTGTACTGCATGTGGCTAGGAAACAGGACACCGTAAAGCCTACGTCCCTTGTCTCCAGCAAGTTGTCCAACACAGTTCTTTCTCAAAGTGTAAATATTATTAGTTATTAATAAGGCAGTTTTAACATCAAATAAATCTTCTTTGCCGCTCAATTTGAAACAAAACGATTCAATGAAAAGCCTTTGAGTAGTGCCAGGGAAAATTAAGAAGATAGTATTTACTTGTTAATTCATGCTGGCTTATTGTAATGGTAGGATCTATCTCTCTGGGAGCCATTTGCTTTTACATTCACCTCTTCCAAGATTTATATTTTGAAAGCTTTTTTTTTTCCTCATCCCTACAGGAATGTGAATTGCCCTCTTGTCCAGAAACTACAAAACTATGGACAACATCAGTTCCTCTGGTTCATGTGGGGAAGGTGACCCAATGGAGATACGGATCATGGACCCCAGTATGTAATGTAACAGTGGTCACATCTTGCACAGCAATCCTCTGTTCCTTCATTTGTTGTATCATAAAGCTCTGATTAATTCTTTTTCACACTGAAATCTGCTTGGGGTAAATTTTAAAGGAATTCTTATTTTTTTTTTTTTTTAAGAAGCTGTTTATTAAGGAGGAGGTAGACACTCCCAGCAAATCCTGTGTGCTTCAAATCTAGCCAGGGAAAATAAGGAGGGAAAAAAAGGGAATTCTGAGAGCTGGGGTTCTTAGCAAAATAGCTTTAATATGATTGAAAGTGTTAAAGGAAGAGGGTTTTTTAGAATAATTTATAATTTCTGAATATAGACAACATCTTTCATTCTAAAACACTATTTAAAACTTTTATGTGAATGGCAATATTAAACAGTTTGGGTCTTTAAAGGTATAATTTTACTTAGTTTGTAAAATAAGCACAATAAAAACGTTTTCTACACAAACTTTGTTTAATGAAAGTGATTTTTTTAGTGTTGAAAATTAGTTATACTTGACAGCAATGTGAAAATGTAAAATTACTTGTAAAAGTGTGTGTCAGTCCCTTGGGGTTCTTAAAGTATATAACACAATTATATCTCTGCACAGCTCTCTTAATTAGATCATAGTAAAGAGTGCATAGATTCAGGGTACTCAAATTTCACTAAATCCACCTTGAACTTCCCAGCTATAAAGGCATCAGAAGGGGCTCATGGTAATATAGACTAGAATGGCAAATGAGTGGTGAATATCAGTTTTTATTTTATCAGTTGATGTAAATATTGCATCACTGTGTAGCAACTAAAATGTTCTGGAAGTTACTGTCTAATGTTTCCATTGTTAATAAAAAAAAAAATTAGCTTTGCAACTGTAGAATGTTTCCATGTTGTAGTTGAAATGCTGCCTGTCCAAATCATGCTCAATTGCTTCTTAAGAATTAAGTCTATGCAGTCAGTCCCAAGCCGATGGGAATTCTTAAGGCCTAAGCTGCCCAGCAATATTTCACATTCCTTCCTGCATGCATGGGTCTGTCAGCGTGAGATGGGAATTTGGTTCTCAATGTTTAATTCTAAGCGAAGCTGATGCTAAGCTACGTTAGTATTTAGGCGTTTGCATGATCTTGTTTTGGTCCCCTCAAGTGTGATGAGCTTGGATTGTTCTCTGGCAGTGTTCTGCATCCTGTGGGAAGGGCGATCGTGCTCGCTACGTGAGCTGTAGAGATGCTCATGGAGGAATAGCAGATGAATCCTTCTGTGCTCATTTACCACGACCAGCTGAAGTTTCAAGCTGCTTTAGCCCGTGTGGAGAGTGGCAAGTTGGAAATTGGTCCCCTGTAAGTATTGTAATTTTTTTTTTTTGTGTCTATTTAGATTATTGGTCAAAGCCTCTGGTTAGAAATTGGGACTTCATATTCTGTGCAAGTGTGATTGAAATTGTATCCTTTGTAAAAACAAAATATGTGTTTCTTACTGTCAAAAGTAAATGAAAATGTCTTTGATTATGAATTATCAATGTTCTGTCACAACTGTTGGGTTTTTGGTCAGTGCACAGTTACGTGTGATAGTGGAGTAGTAACAAGACAAGTTATCTGTGTCAACTATCATCAACAAATCAACGAGAATTACTGTGATCCTGAAGGCCGACCTTCTGAGGAACGAGAATGTAACATGCCACCCTGTCCACCAGTTTACCATCATATTCCGAAAATCCATGACCATCCAAGCCAATTCCCAGAAATAGGTTACCTTCCCATACACCACCCACAAGACAATATGAACCAATGGAACCGTCCATCTGTGGGAGGATATCAGTGGAGAACTGGACCCTGGGGAGCAGTAAGAATTGTTAATATATTAATTTGTTCTCTTACATATATGTTAACGTTTCTACAAATGTTATTGCAGTACAGTAGAGATTTGGTCAAAAGAAGCACATTTATTAAAAAAAATATTATTATGAGGAATATTATTAAATTAAAAGTGTAACTTCTCTGTGGTTTAATTTTAAAATAGTTCTACGTACTAGTAATTTCTGTTTACAAACTTCCATTTTGAAAGTTAACATTGAAAAATAATTTTAAGTTGTTTTAACCAGCGTATTTTACGTTTTTCTTATTGTGCAATGGTGATACATGTGCTTACATGTTTTGGTAGTGCTCTAGTACTTGTGCAGGTGGATTTCACCGTCGAGTTGTAGTATGTCAAGATGAGGAAGGAAGAAGTGCTAGTTATTGTGATGAGGCCACAAAACCTCCAGAGTCAAGACACTGTGATTCTGGACCCTGCCCACGGTGGAACTATGGGAACTGGGGAGAAGTAAGATCATTTGACTTTCAAAAGGAAGCATTATTTACCACATAAGCTTAGAATAAGTAGCATAATTCTTTGACTGAGAATGGAACAGATTACCATTTTTTTACTGATTTAAAAAGGAGTTTCAACCTCTTTAAACTTTGTTCTTTGATCAAATCCAGAGCTGTGGTGTAAATATAAGTAGTAATAAAACTAGTTTTAGGACCAATTTCCACATTTCCCTCCTATCAAAGAGAGATATATATGCATATTTATTCTTGCAAATGGTTACTTCTCCTAGACAGAGTAGATTCTTTGCAGCTGAGACATGTTGTAGAAAAATCACTCGATAAACTATGAAATGTACTTTGGTAAAAATTTTGGTGAAAGAACCTTTTTTCCCATTATATGATATTAGACTGTTTCTCATTCTTTGAATTGAGTGTCCAGGGAATATGAAAATATATATAGCAATAATCAGTACATGTTATTATTTACTATATTTTTTTGGTGTAATGGCAAGCGATGACTCTCTCAACAAAAATATTGTGTATAAAATTTTGTATTTCAGTGTACTCAAACTTGTGGAGATGGAATAAAGACAAGATTGGTGATTTGTCAGCTTCCTACTGGCCAAATGTTGGGTGATCAAAACTGTGAGATTCTAGACAAGCCACCTAATATGGCCCAGTGTAATGTGCATTCTTGCCCTGGTGATGTTTCATGGCATCGGGGACCGTGGAAATCGGTACGATAGCATTCACTAATATTTTTCACTTCCTTGTTCTTTCTGTCAATCTATTTCCCCTTGCCTTTAAAAAATTATATTATTATTTTATTTTATTACAGTGAAATAATAATGCATGTGGAATATAGCCTGTGTAGTTTTGTTAAGCAATTGTTCCTGCAGCAGTTGAATTAAATGGGAAACAGCCATTTATGTCAATGGGAACAGTATCATGCTCTGTAAAACATCATAGGGAATATTTTTAAAACTACCAGAAATCGTCATGGCCAATAGCAGTGACTAATCAGTTATTCTACTTCGAAGGATTATGATTTCATTTGTTTAAATTTAAAAGTATATGCTGTAATTTATACAGTAGTATTATCTATATATTTATATTTGTAAAAAACAAAAGCTTTTTAGTGCATAGCTTTTTTTTTTAATAGTACATTTAAGTATGAAATAACTCACACACATGTATATTACACTCTGTCATCAAACATTTTACTTGGAATTACATGTACATTTGTGTATAAAAGTTTATATTTGTGGTTTTAAAACAGTGACTAATTAAAGTTGTCTATGTATAATTATGTATGTAACTATAATATGTTATTGTCTACATGTCACTGTCTTTAATGTGTAAAAATGCCTACAGTAATCACCATTAACCTTTAAAATTGCCACTAGCAGTGTATTAACAATGTAATCCATAGCAAGCTCTACAATAGAGTGCCTTATATTTCCCAAACTGTGAATCTGACAACAATATTTATTATTGTACTCAGTTCTAAGAATAATGGCAATCAAAAGAGATTGGATCCAGTTCTGGTTCCACTGGAATCAGTTAAAAACCTGTTATTAACATCACTGGGAGATGGGCTAGGACAACAGTTCTATTTCTTTTAAGTATTTTATTAATAAAATGATGTAATTTATTTCTTTGAATTAGCATTGAAACATTTTTTTAAAACATTGCCCAATTTAAAATTTAAATAACTTGTTAGTGTTCATATAATCTATTCTAATTTATTACAAATAGATTTTTAAATGAAACTTTGAAGAAATGATTTTCCACAGTTTTGTCTCTTTCTTCCATTGTGCAAAACAGAGTTTTGTTTTGTTTCTAACAGACACCAGAGTATCTTGTTTAGCCATTCGCAAAACAATTAGTGGTCACTTGCTAATGCTTAATTAATGTATGCATTTCAGGTGCTGAGAAGACAAGTGGGGCATTCAGCACACACTTGTCTTTGGACTCAATGTTTGTATTCCTTTTAGATCTAAAGTTACTCAGAGCCTCATTGTTCCCTGAGGGATGCAGCTTGTCCTGCATCAGTATGTTACCTGTAAGCTGTTGTAAAGTATTGTAAATGCTACATGTGGCTTAGTTTTGCAAAGATTTTCATGTTGGGTTATATCTCAGTTGATGTAAAAAGCCATTTTACTCCTTCAAAAATGGAAGTTTGGAATAGTATCTAGTTGTCAGAGAGAGTTTGTGACATCTCTTTTCACATTTGCAAACTCTAATGATTATTTGGTAATAGTTTTAATTTCCTCACACTCTCCCATGATGTTGTGCAGAAAGAAATGTAGTGAATACAAGCAGGTTATATATTAAATATGCTGTCACTTTTTAGTAATTTAGCTAGTTTGATTGCTTCCAACGAACAAACATCAGTTAATTTTGGTTACTGTTTAAATGGAGCAAAACTCATTCTTTGAGGCTGACTATTTTGAAAAAGCAGTAAAAGCTTTAGTCACAGAAACATTGTTGTAACCTAGCACATACCACATATGGCTTCATTTAACCTTCACCAATGGGTGGTTAATGAGTGATGTGATGGTTTGGCAACAGATCATGGCTCTGCTTATCTTATCCCTTTCTAGCATACACTGTGCTCTAATATAGGGGACTGTTAATGACTGGACACACTCTCTGGAGGCTGGAGTCATTAAGCACATAACATCTACACTTCCTTCTCTATAAAGACAGCAAGAACCAGATAAAACACTATATTTTTGATAAAAATATTGAGTAATATTTCTGTCTGGACATAATGCAATGCATTACGCTTTTAGACCTACCAGTGAGATTCCAATATCAAAACTTAAGTAGAAACTGAAATGTGAGACTTTCCACATGCAGTGCAATTTGCCATAATGGATTCTGCAGTTGCTTCTGGCATGCATAGCACAGTGTAATACATGGAGAGGGTGAGCAGAAGGATGGGAATTTCTGAGCAGTTGCTTTACCTGGACCAACTCCTTGATCTCCTTGAATGTTGGCCCTGTCTCTGGCCCAATCAATTCAGAAATGGATATCAAAATTACTTCAAAAATCTTTTCCTCATTCTGATGTAGCTTTGTCTAAAGCTTCACTTGGAGATTATTCCAGCTTTTACAGAGCCAGATAATTCCCTCTTGGATTTTAGATTCCAGCAGAAATAGATGAATAAAAAGTCAAATGAGCTAAGACTAATTCAGAATCCTGAGTGAAGAACCTGATTCACCATGTAGGATTGTTCTAGTTTATCAGTTGTCAGTGTATTTTATGCTCTTTTCCATATTGGGGCATTCTATCTTCTTCACTAGCTATCACTATATATTTCAGGATACAAGACTTTTAGCAGTATAAGTACATGTCCTTCAGTTTTTGATTCATTTTACACAACGTAATGAAAATATCTCCTGTAAATGCACAGTAGGAAGCAAAGAAGCCACTATTCATGATTTGAAGCCAGAATGCTGGTTGATGCTTTCTGCAGTCGAGCAGCTATGGACTGTTACACTTTATAATGCCTGTGGCTATTGGAGCTGATTATTGCAAAGCTTAAAGGCTACGTGCTTCTCTGTTCTGCAGTTGTCCAAAGGGATGTGAGGCAAGTAAATCTCAAATTCTGAAGGCTCGTACTACTCCAGGACACTTTCTCAGAAATATTAAGCATATTCAGAAACTTTGATTCTTTTGAAACTTTAATTCAGTCCAGAATTTTCATATCATGATATCCAAGCCAGAAAGATGTGCTAAAGTTTTACAGGGAGGATGGCTATGAAACACATCATTTTGTCTGTAACCTGAATTCATTTGATCTGTACGTTGTTGAGAGAATCTGACAATGATCTTAGAATGAAGCTTATGTCTTCTGCCCTCTTAGTTTTCTGCAAATTCCTAAGGGAATTTTTTTAAGAACTGAATCATGCTCATCTTTATTTTTTTTTTTTCCCCTGCCTTTTTATCAAAATAGAGTGACTTTATACCCAGTACATGCATCCTGAGGGACTCAGGCTTGTTTTCAAAGAATAAATGTGTCAATTCTTAATGTAAATGAGACTGATCAATGTAAAAATTTTCCTGAATTCTAGTGTTTCAAAATTGGAAACATTTGATTTCAAGATTTCACTGCTGAGTTGGCATTTATCTAAGTACATCCGTTTTGGGTATACAAAAATTCCAATACAGATGTACATATTTTCATATATGCATATTTATAATGTTAAGTTAAATAATACTTGAGGTAAATATAGCTGCTTATTTAATGGCATTGCACCACCAGTAAATTTGGCCCATATAGCTTGGATATTTTCCTTTAGTCTGTTTTCACTGGTGAAGTGACTGAGGCAATGATCCAAAACTTCATGAAAGAATGAATAAATTACAAGCCAAAAAGGATGGAAACCATATGTCATATTATATAACATCAAGAAAAATTCCATAGCATTCTGACAGCTGGCTAAGAGTACTTTGTTCTTGTACAGATTTTTACTGTATCCCTTGTTTCCACAGTGCATTATTGGGGTTTCATGCTTAGTCCATGCAGGAAGACTTCTGGTTCATTATATTAGTTTTCATCAGAGTAGTTCGGGTTTTCTGCCTCTAATGACAAGAAGTTGCTTTTTACTTAGAGCATGAAAAAAGAGAGTATTATAAATTTGCAAAGATAGCATAAGGTAGAATAATCTGTCTTAACTGGGATGAAGAATGCTGGTTTGTTACTTCCAAAAGTAAGCTTTTTTCCTTTGTAAGGAAAAAGTAAGCGTTTCCCATATCCACATGCTTTAGTATTCTTAGCCAAATAATCATCTGTTGCGTGACAAAATATTATGTGGGTATGTAATCAAATCGACCGTTAGTTGGATCAGTGGTTATGTTTAGATACAACAAATCTGCAGATACATAGTGCAGATACATATACAGTCTTGCAAAGATTGCATGTATATATAATATCAAGGTAAAGTAGCTATACTAGAGAATAAAATATTAATTTTAGCAGTTCTTGGCTGGGAAATGACTTAACAAACAGTAGTAAGCCAGGAAATTTCCAGGGCCAAAGCCTTGACCTGGTACCTGGGCAAAACATGTAATGTGAGCACATATTTTGTTCTGCTCTTCCTTCTGCTGTTCAACAGGTGACAACTCTTTTACTCATCTAGTGTGCTTTTGTTTTTTGTGGTGTCTTCACTTGGAGGGCTGTATTTGACTAGTAACTGAAGCTTCCCCTTTTTATCTCTGTTGCTTTTAAAATTTTGGAGTTTGTCTTTGTTAAATGGTCAAATCTACCTTTCTAGTCTGTTTTTCTATGCCTTCTAGGTTGTTGCTGCACAATAAAAGTGTAAGTTTCTCAAAATTCTCAAAACATATATACTTTTACTGTGCTGTGTACCTTTCATTTTGTTTATTTTCTAAAAGATTTTATAGAGTGTGAGGAGAAATAAAATAGGCTATTGATATATGGGAAGACCATACCTTCCAGCTTCACATAGGAAAGTTTGTTCACATTTTGGGATGACAAAAACTTTGATATGTTTAGGAGCTTCATTTTATTTTTAGTCCCCCATAAGTTTTCAGTGCTTACTGAAATCTTTGGAGAGCCAGGTAGCCAAACGAGGTTCCTGCTTGGGCAGGTGGTGGTAGCAGTTGATATTACCTTGGAAGCTTTATGTTTCCTTAGGGTTTTCATTCTTGTATGAGTGTGGATAGCAACCTAAATTTTATAAGAGACATTTTAATGAGGTATGTC